CCTGCCCATCAAATGTTACCAATCATCTCTCATCCTGAAGACCAGCACCTATGTTTGATTATTTTTGTAACCCCACCCCTTATGTAATACCCCCTAAAAGGGGGTCTTTAAGGTAATAAAATGAAATGAAATGAAATGAAATGTCTGCGTACAGATTCTTCAACGCACAGCTACAGGCAACACTGAATTTGCCTGCTGGCACCTGTCAGCATCATGGATCGTCTTGATCAGCTTGGGGCAAGGATGCCAAAAACCTCGTCCTCGGAGTTTTCATGCAGCGTGGACTCTAACGTACACTGCTCCAAGAGTCCGCAAAGAAAAAAAGGTCCAAGGCACCTAGGAAGAGGGTTCCTGCTCAAGCTGAGTCAGCCGCAGACACTGCAGTCGCTGAGTCAGCCGCAGACACTGCAGTCGCTGACCAACGTGACTGTCATCTCGGTTTCTCGGCTGCGCACGAACATCATCGCCTGGTTTCACCAGATAGATTTCAAGTTCCAGACATTTAAAGTTGCACCAGGTGGGGCCATTTCATTGATTGTATCCAAGTTACCATCTAAGGACACCACGTGGATTACGTACCACCTCAAGACAGCCAAGCAAACAATGTAGGAGCAAATGAAGAAAGCTTTCTGTCGTCGTTACAATCTGGACAACGAAGCTGAGGTGAAACAGAAGATGTTCAGCACAAGTCAGCACTCGGGAGAGTCCTGCACCGACTCCGTTTTCCGTTTACTGGAGCTCATCCACGAGTGCAGCTACCCAGAGACGAAGGCGGAGAAATGCAAGGTTTTCCTGGCCACACTCTTCCACAAAGCACAAAAGCATGCTTGGACAGCGCTTCGCTTCGTTGAATGAGTTGCTGGACTCTTTCCTTTGCTTTGACCAGGTTGTCTTTAGCTAACCAAAGACACCGGTTTTGGCTCTCGCTGCAGAGCGAGTGCAAGCTGCGCAGGGATAAAGAAAGCACGCTCCTTCCTGCTCTCGAAGCAGGGCCGGCCACCGCCTCATCGGAACGCTGACGACAGCAATCGTCACCAGCATCCTTCTACAACAGAGAAGCAAAAGAAGCAGCATGCGTCGCTTCAGCATGTGTCAAAAACTTTGCGGGACTTTCAATGTACTTCGTCCCAATACCCTGAAGTTCGTTTGCTCCGTCTCATTTGTAAGAAAAACGGCCACTTTGTCACGTGATGCCGGCAAGATCTGACCCAAGAATTTCTGGAATGGCAACGGCACTTTGAGTCTGTTGCATTGTTGACGGAGAAAAGTGAAAACCTGATGCCCCTACCGCCTGGAAGGTGTCATCAGTAGTTTGGTACATCACCTCTGGTGCTGCAGTGGGCATCAAGACAATTAAGCTCAGCAATGCGGACACTGACCCCATTTTCCATTGTTCAAGCCTTTTTTTGCCAGGGGACTTCTGTCTCAGAACCTTGGAAAGTTGTCAACCCTCAGCACCAACGTTGGTGTCACATTTGACAGCGGTACGCAGCTCGGAAGTTGACCTCCAGACAAATCAAGCTCGCTCAAGAAAAGCAAGAAAGCGACTTTGACAGTGGCACATGTATGTTCTTTTTGAGGACTAGCTCGTGTTGTAGGAGAGCCCACTCATCAGAATCAAGGCAACACTATGATTTACTGGCCCTCGCCAAATTGTGAGCCGGCTCTCTCCCGTGAACTACGAGCTTGAACTCGTGGACGGTACTGGCCGCAATGTAGTGCATGTGGAGAAACTGAAGCCGGTCGTCAAATTTGTGCAGTCTCTACCTGGGGACTGAACTTTGTAAACTTTATATGTTTTTTTTCTCATTTATCACGTCATATGTATATCATTATTTAATCATGTGCATATTGCTCAACGCAGTATTTGTTTAATGTTTGTTTAGTGTTTGTTGCGTGGCAGCGTGATATCAGGTCGACACTTAAAAACTTTGGCACGTGACGAGCTGCAAAAGAGACATCGCTCTAAAGCGGCTCGTGCGAGCGCTCATGATCGAAATAAAAGAAGTAGTTTTGGCATGGTAGCTGATGACGTTGACATGTCTTTCCTGAGCACGGTGCCCATTTATCTTGATGACCGATCCAGATCGTCAAAACAACATTACCCAGGTAAAATTTCATGATGGGTTTTCCCGCTAGGACTGTCTCCTTGCAGAGCTGGAAAATTTCCGCGGCAGCCGAAATTTTCAAGAGCATCCTTTTCACTCTGTGTCATCCTTTGATGATGTTTATGGTGAGCATATCTGCTGTCTCTACTGTCACACACAGCTAGTGGAATGCCTTGTGGCTGGGGCCTCTGCTGTGGTCTGCGTGGGGGTCGGTTGGGGCACAGCGATTTTTCTTATCTTCCCCTCTGGGTTATGATTATTCATTGTTTCCATACGTGTATATGTGTTATCTTGTACTTACGACTACAGTTTGTTTATGTTTACACCTACTCAGCGGCGGGCTAGCAGGCGCACATGCGTAAGGGTACTAACCTTTCTGTCTAGCCTCGCACGCCACTGAGTGGGCAAACTTTCTCGTGCAAATGAAAATTATTATTATTATTATTATTATTAGTGAGGTCCAGTGTTGAAAAAATAGTGCCTCCAAGCACGCTCGCCACAAAATCTGTTACAGCTCGCATCAGATTTACCGCCAGTTTTTCAACCGCGTTCAGTGTTGTGTTGGCTCGATTATGCCTTAGCTTTGGAGCATCCGGAGTTCTGCCTCCACTGCGGTACACATTGCAAACGGTACAGGGCTAGCCTTCAAAAAGCGCAGTGCTGCATCTTTTTTCAAATCCAGGTTCACCGAGGGTTCTTTGTGCCTGCTAATCCCTGGGTCAAGAACTTCCTCATATGTCAGCAACGCGTCATCTAGGGTCGTGCCCCGGTCAAGGTGGTAAGCTACAGTGTCTACCTCAAACTCCATTGGTCTCCCTTCGACTTTGGGTAAGACCAGATAATTCTTGACCAGTACATTATTCAGTGAAGAAAGGGAGAAAACACAGGCGAGCTGGTGAATGACAAACATAGTAAACCCGAGACTTAGGAAAATAAAAATGAAAATGAAATGAACATTGAAGTCTCGGACACAGGTTAAAGTTTATTCAACAAACACCGCCTTACATACACATCCAAATCTCCTTCACAATCCACCCTTTGGCGAATACGTGCTGCCACCTAGACACGCGACTGGGATAGAGAATAAATAGCTAGAAAACAATGCGCGCACCAGGCCTCTCTAACTTGTTCCACACGCAAAACGTGCAAAACGTGAGCCACATCCTGTTTGCCCATTGAGCCGCTGTGACGAAGTCGACACAAAGAAACCATTTTCCCTCTCTGCAGGAAAAAAAAGAAGGTACTAGAACCATTCACTCTCAAACCGATGTTTCTACAAAAGGTTCATTGCTCGGCCAGAAGGAAAAGAAAGAAGGTACTAGAACCATTTACTCGCAAACCGATGTTTTTACAAAAGATCCTACTAGTACTAGGCGTAACATAACTTCCAACCATATCCAGCACACGAAACAAGAAACAAAAAGAACATGAAACCCAGACACAAAAGAACAGGCCAAAACAAAGGACCTCAAACCGCAAAGGCTGCACAAGCACAAGATGGTATAGCCTCGACTGCCTTCACAGCACTTGCAGTGAATGAGCACTCATGCAACCGCCATGGTGTGATCCAAAGCAATTAGCTCACACTTGTAGAATCTGGCTAACAGTCCATGCTAAGGGGAGATGAAGTATAGAAAACTGCAGCTCTAAACACACACACACACACAAAAAAAGAACCTGCCACATTGGAAGAATATAGGAACAGAGATGGGGCAACAAGTTTGAATTATGTGGGGGATGGAGAATATAGCAACCCTGCTCACCTGTTCTGACGCAACTTCGCACATAATCCGATACCATCCGAGCCTATTTAAAGATCTATATCACATTCCCACCCGAACTGATCGGCATTCCTAATCAGTTTTATTTTAATATGTTCAGTGACAATGCAAGCCAGTTTTAAATACTCTACTTTTATAATATTACTTTTTCGTACTTCTCAATGCAACATTTTCATGGCTGTTCCCCAGATCACGAGAGCCGCGCACAAGTAGCGAGCCTCAGTTTGGGCATTTAGGACGCAGTACGTAGCTGTTTTGCGTCTCCTACGCACTGCAAAATCTGCGTAAAACGATCCAAACTTCTTTCAGCAAGTGCTATGACCCACGGGGGTATCGGAGGTCGAGCGTGTTAGCGCACCGCAGCTCGTACGGCGAAAGGTCCCGCTGCCAGGGATCCCCACCCCCACCCGATTCGATCTGTTGTGAGGCACAGACCCCAGGCTAGCAGTCGTACTGTAGTGGCTAAATTTTCTCATCTACAGCCTGAAACGGTGTAGCCAAAACCTAGACAGGCCGATCGCAAGCTACTTAAAATAGTGAGCGTCTTATTTTCTTCCGCTATGCCCAAAATGACGACAGTGCATGCGATTGAAAGACCAGCGGATAGGCGGGCTACCACTCTTGCCTTCGAATCGTTCGGGAGTCGGGCACCTGCATTTGCACCATGATTGAAGAAACAGAAAGAAGCGACGTCAAATCACATCGACACAGAATCACTCCAGCCTTCCTTGCTTGTGCCCTTCAGCTCTGTGCGCCGTCAGCCGTATCAACGCTAATCAAAATTAACAACGCCTGCCGCGCGCGTTTCACTGCTCATACAAACAACAACAAACAATCAGGGTATTTTGCTGCAGAAAGTTGCTTCCGCCAGTTTTAGCGAAATGCGGAGCTCAATCCCCGCTCAAGCGACGTTATTCAAGGTATTGAATTTGGCGTAAGGATAGTGTGTTTGGGGTATGCGAAAAAGACTACGGTATTGGCTATGGCGTACGCCGAAACGACTACGGTATTGATTTTGGCGTACGCCACAACCACTACCGTAGTCGAAGCGGAGGGGTAGTGAGATCGGCGTCCTACACCGGCCCCCCGGGCCCCTCCCTTGGATCTGCCACTGGTTTAAGGAGGCGTAATCGCCTTTTCGATCAAGTAAATTCAGTGTGCCCCTGCAGCGGCTGAGGACATGAAAATTTTCGTTATCAAGTATTTTCCGTTGAAGCACCAATCAAAAAACTCGGTTATCAGGTTGCTGCGAGGGTGGTACGTGTCGGACTGGTCTTCTGGACCCCTGGGGCCGGAGCCTCCTGGACGCCCCGGGCCGAAGCCTCCTCCGCCGTTGTCCTTGGGCGCCTCCTTGCTAGACTTGTCGTACTTGTCCCGCTTCTTCTTGTCGCTGAGGACCTCGTAGGCTTTGCCCAGCTCCTTGAACTTTTCCTCCGCATCCGGGCTCTTGTTCTTGTCGGGGTGGTAGCGTTTTGCAAGCTTCCGATAGGCCTTCTTGATGTCGTGCTGAGTGGCAGTCCTCCCAACACCCAGGATTTTGTAGAAATCCTTTCCCATGTCTGTGGCCTGCAACGACACAATGTCAATGGTTACAGTCTTTATCTAAACCCAAGGCTTCATTAACACGCAAAATACTTTCGGGGTAACTAAGGAGAGGAAAGCGAAAATGAGTAAATTAAGTAAGTAAGTAATAAGTAAGTAACTGGCAATTTGCAACTACAGTGGAGTCTGTGCCATCCAGCAGTAAGAGACGTGACAGCCGAAATGTGGACCTAAAACTTCAGCTGGGTGGGCGACGACTGGAAGGTAGTCAATTGTTTAGCGGTGAAGCTGCGGATTTCTCATTTTTACGAACTTGGGTGCCAAGGATTTTCACAATGATTGATTGATTGAGTTTTATTGGTGCAAAAGCGTCTAAGGCTAAAGAGCGCCAAAATCTGTGACTATTTCATGAAATGGTTTCTAGAGAGGAAGGAGGGCTCTAGTGGCCAGTGGTAGAATAAAGAGATGGACATGAATCTGTATATAAATAATGTGGATGAAAAGTTTAAAAATTGCAAAACAAGTTTAAAGTCGACGTAAAAGTCCAGTGCTTTCTAGGAATTTAGAAACATTTTTATGATTTATAAAAGGTTCATCTCCAAGCAGAAGAGCAAGGTGTAAAGGCATCTGTGCTGGATAAAACTGGGCGAAGTAGAATTGCCGGTACCTGTGATATCCGGGGCACTCAAGAAGGTTATGCACTACAGTTAATGGTTCTGAACAGTGTTCGCATGCAGGTGGATCTTCTCAGCAAAGTGTTAGATGTGTGTGGCCAATTCTTAACCGACAAATAATTACCTCAAAAAACCTATCCCTATGACGGGCACTCGCCCACTCCTGTAGCATCGGCTTCACAACATGGAGTTTTGGTTTCGCGGGACCATTCCTCTTGCCATTTACCTTTGTAGTCTTGGTAAGGTATGTTGTGAATATCAACCTTCCTTCCAGCATATGTGGAAGCGTGTCAATCAGCAGCTTCATTCCCGGGTATACCCACGTGGCTAGGCACCCAGCAAAAGACTATCTGCAATAGCTGCAGATAGTCTTTCCCTAGCTGCAGCAACCACTTTATGTTGTAGCTGAGTTATTAAAAGGTTTTTTGCTATCTCAAAGGATCTAAGTGCTCTCAGAGCACTTAGTGAATCAGTGTAAACTGCAGAGTATGGATGCCTATTTTTGATAATATAGTCTGTGGCCAATAGTAAACCGTATAACTCGGCAGTCAAGATAGTTGCACTGGAATTAATCCTCCGCCCAAATTTAAGTGATGGTCCAATCACGGTACAGCCGACAGAGGAGTCGGTTTTTGTGCCGTCAGTATAAAAGCTGGTGTAGTCGTTATATGTATTTTGTAGCTCAAAGAATTCCTGTTTTAAGACTTCTGGTGGGGTAGTTTTCTTAGTGTACTCAGTGAGTGACTAGTCTGTGATGAGCAGACTATGCTCCCATGGTGCCACTGTTTCCAAAAGCTGAGCAACAGGTGGGCTCATCTGAAGGACAGCCGAAAGAGCCGAGGTCTTGTTCCGCAATGAAAAGGGAGGCTTAACAGTGAGCTTATACTTTTGAAGGTTCGTTCAAAACGTGTTCTCTCGACTATACTCCGCGACAACTTTTCTTGGCAATGCAGTTAAAGGTAGAGGCCCGCGTCCCCTCTCCCATTTTTTGTGTACGCAGGCTCTCCTCCTCCCCCATTTCCGGGGAGAGGAGGAGAGCACGCACACACTCAAAATGGGAGAGGGGACGCGGGCCTATACCTTCCACTGCATTGCCAAGAAAAGTTGTCGCGGAGTATAGTTGCCGACATGGATGTTGTACTACAAACCGTATAAGGGAATACATTGGACCTAGGACATATCGCCTTTTCTCTAGAGACATTTCATTAGATTCAGCATAGGGGCTCAGCACAGGGGATGTACGAAACGCACCGGTGACAAGTCGGATCCCTGCGTGATGGATTGGATCCAAAATTTTCAGTGTTGATGCACTCGCTGATTTAAACACCCAGTGGCGTAGCCAGGATGTTATTGCGGGAGGGGTTCAAAGGCATTATCCTCCCCCCCCCCCCCCCGCCTCCCTAAATGACGAAGCAGGGTGAACTCTGCGCTACGGACACTCACACAAAGTTTAGCAGACGAAAGCAATGGCGATCCTCAGATGGCATTCCTTGACCATCGTAACACGCCGTTGCAACACACGCACCATACTGGTGGTTGACTACGCCTTGGTAAGCGCGGATGCGCTTACCAAGGCGTAGGATGCCGCTAACGGCCCGGACAAGCGCTAACATGCACCATATTTTCAACAAAGGTGCCTATAGTTGTGTTACACATAACTTGGAAAAACGTGCTGAGCTTACGATGATGACGTGTGTCCAGTACGTGTGGAATTCTTCGGCATTGGTGCGATTACGCTACGAGCAGAAAGTTTCGTAATGCCGCCGACGAAGTTTTGACGCGAAGGGATGCCGTGTCGCCAAAAAAAGAAAAAGCTTAACTGCGCGCCCCATGATGCGACGAGCGGCTCTAGAAGTTGCTTGTAGAAAAATTGTTACGATTTTGCGAATTACTGGGAAACCACGCTATGTTACCGTCATAATCTAAGCCCTGAGACAAGGATAAATCAAATAACGGACAGGACAACTCTCATTGTCTCAGGATTTATATTAAAGGGATGGTGAACCGAAATTCGGATTTAAAAAAAACTATGCTGGAGATGTAGGCTGGACGCTACAATCCCTACAACACTACTAGTTAGGCGATATCTCAAATGGACGGCCGTTTTTTTTTTTTTTTTTTTTTGGACAAAGAAGTCGAGATTGAACCAGGCCGACGAGGCGGTGACCGCCAAGCTTCGCTCCCTCAAGGCCGCGAGACGGAGAAGACGCGAGGCCGTTCCTTCTCCTTCTCGGAGAAACATGGCATCAACATTCCTGCCAAATTCGCGTCGTTTTTTTTTAAAAATACGGTCATCCGTTCGAGATACCGCGGTATGAGTGATGTTTTGGTGTTTGTAGCATCCCGTTGCACGCTTTTGCCACGTGTTTTGGGGAATCCAGATTTCGGTTCAGCATTCCTTTAAGATGTCTCCTAACCGGCTCGTTAACATACTTTCGCTCCTTGTTAAGTTTAACGTCTCGCGGACGGCACAAACCGATGCCCCGGCGGCGGAGTCTCGACGAGCATGCACACGGGGTCACCGCCGACGGATCCGTCTGGCCGGGCTCGCGGCGCGACACTCGCCCGGACTCGGCCGGGAGCCCCGAAGGTGCGCTCGAAGCGTGGAAAAGGCGTTATGTAACGAAGGCCAAAGGCCATATACACCAAGAAGGAGCAAAAGCCGATGCAAAGGCGTGCGCGATCGGAAACAAGGGTAGAAAAGTACGCGTCGCTCGCCGCTATGAAATGCGTCCTGCAAACTCTATAATCCGCGGCCGCATCCCTTTTCTGCCCCAACTTGACGGCTACTGTCTCGCGGGGTATGCCGACAAAACGATCCGGCGATCGTCGGGATTCGGGGTAATAATCGCTCTCGCTGCGAAGGGCCGTCGAGTCAACCACCAGCATGGTGGATACCTAATGTTCGACGTCATCATCTGATGTAGGCGCAAGGCATGTTTTGGGGATCACCTCAAACCAGGCCAACGGTTGCTTCTTTAATTCTCAGTGGACAGACTTATCCAATTGCTGCAAAACAAACGAGACACTAAACGGTATGTGCTCCAAGCGGCGTCACGAGTCTTCGATCCAGTGGGATTGATTACACCATTCACGATACAAGCAAAGATTCTCTTCCAGAGTTTGTGGAGGCTCAAACTAAAATTGAATGAAGAGCTTCCGGAACGCCAGAGGGGAGACTAAGAAGAATTGTATACTGAGTTGTTTCAACTCTACGGTATTTTAGTCCCAAGACACCTCAAGAATGGGCTGACAGAAGTCATAGAAACACAGCTGCACATCTTTGTCGACGCAAGTACATAAGCCTATGGAGCATGTGCTTACATGCAAATCGAAACTCAACGCGGAGAAGTTTTAACGGCTGTAGTGACAGCTAAGTCAAGGGTTGTGCCGATCAAAACATTAACGTTATCGCGTCTGGAACTGATGGGAGCTGTTGTTTGAACAAGACCCCTAGACTATACCTGCGCAAGACGCACCCTGAAATTTCTTTTCCATATACCATGTGGACGGATTCCACTGTGGCACTTAGATGGATTCAGGGCTCAGTAGAGAGATGGAAGCCTTTCGTAAAACCTCGCGTACTGGAAATCCAATAATAGTGTTTCCAAAAACTGGAGGCAGTGCCCTGGGAACAGTAACCCTGTGGACCTGCTCACGAGAAGAGAATCAACGCTGCGGGACAGCTCCATGTGATCGAAACAACCCAGCTGGCTTGTTCGAGATCCAGTTGAATGGCCAAAAGACCTACCTACCTCAGACACTCACTTGGAACTCAAAAGCAACGAGCGGTGCATCTCTATAGTATAGACCTTTGCAAAAAGTGCTCTCTGGCCGCCGCCATTTTGCGAATCGAGCGGCCCCTATCAGGCAGAAATTTCTTATTCCGCCTGAGTTTTAAACCCGGTCAGCGTGACTCCCCACCTGCATTGTGGATTCGGAGTTTGCCGGCTTTTTTTTTAAGTTTTTTTTTTTTACTTCGTTTGCCTGTTTAGAATGCTTACCCTTTGTGTGTTATCTTCCACTGTGAGAACCAGGGAATACCAGGACTCGTAGCCTGCTTGGCCTTCGCAGGAAACGAACGAAGAGAGTGAACGTCAGGCAGCCCGCGACGCGGGCAGTTCAACGTTCCTGGAGGATTATTTCCGGTATACGATAATCTCCAAAAAGCCTTCTCGGCTATGTTCCAGGTCTTCGTGAAAAATAGTCGATAGGGTCGGGTGCGGGGTGTGTGGACAGAATAGACACGTTCGTTAATTTGGTTTGAAGCTGTGCAAAAAAGCGGCTCGCTTTTACATGTGCCCTAAAACACGCTGGATTCCGTCCGATCGTCGTAATGTG